GTTAACGTAAGTTTGTTTCTTCATGTTTGTGAACGGAGCTCTCTTGCCATTCTGAGAGCTCCAGATTTTCTTGGAGTTAAAGCCAGGCTAGAAAAATATCCTGTTAACCATAGAAATGATAGAGTAGACCCTGTAAATGCGGCCGCCATGGGCAGTCGTGGTCAATGAGAAGTCTTCTTTACGCTGTTAAAAACGGATGTCATAGTGCATCATTTACCCCAGAAGAAGAAACAACTGTGATGCACCCTAACCAGTTCGCCTTTTAAAATGAACGCGTTTCCACCACAGCAGGTTTGTCCTCGTGTTATTGAGCACGTACTGTAGGGGTCAAAACTGTAGGGGTGAACCCAGCGGGTGGCAACACTTAGTAAATGTCAGAGTTCTGAGGGTAGTACCACATCCTGGAAAAAGACCTATGAACTAGTTCATTTTTGGAACTGTGAACTTAGAAGTTTTAATTATGAACCGTGAGCTGAACTAGTTACCCCGTCTGTGAGTCAGTCTGGTGGACGATGATGTCTGCTCTGAGATGGTCGACTCACCAGCATGCAGACCAACACGTTCACACTGCAGGTTTGAGCCAAACCTGTAGCCAGGTTTGTGTTGCATTCTGGGATGTAAGCACAGTCATCAGCAGCTACTGAGTAGCTCCTCGCTAGCTGAACAGGAAGATCTGTTACCTGAATTACATTTGGGCAGATGACCAGATTTATCACCTCAGCAGCTGAACTCCAGATGAATCCCTAAAATGAGTCCTGCCCTCCTGAGCTACATACGTCTCTGTCATACCTCCTTTTTACGCGTTCTGTTTTCTTTTCAGGAAAGAATAAAAGGTTTGTTTTTAAAAGCTCTTTAACGGTTTTATGTCGACAAATGCGTATCTGACTGTGTTCAGCACCTTGATGAGGCCGTGACCGAGGCTTTATAAATGAATAAAATAAAAGCAAACAGGATTTTAACGCTGCTGACCAGTGTCCCTTATCTCCACAGTCCAGTCCATGTTTTCTCCCTCCTCCGAGGGTTCCTGCACCCTTAAAGCATCATTTCTCCCTCTTATATGTATTTTCACTTCAGCCATTTTGGTTTATTGTTCAAGCGTTCAGTATTCATCTGAAAGTCCAGTTCATCCGGCTCTCTCATGCTGTTTTTATTTGCCCCAATATACATACCTTACATTTTCACCTTCCCTTCCCAGTGAGTCTAGTCTCTTTTGTATTTAGTTCTGTTCCTTGTGTGCCCTTGACCTTTGACCCCTGTGTTGCCTCAGCTGTTGTTTATCCTTTTATTTACAGTTAGTCTTTCTCTGTGCTCCTGGGGTTCACATTCATTCCCAACGCAGTGTCTTTAGCTTCTGTTTCATTTAGCTCATTCATCAGTAGCGTAGTTATCCTCATAAGCCATCTATTGTTCTTCCAGTCTTTAGTTCTGAGACCTCGTGTGTGTTTGAACCTTCCTCTCTGTGCTCCTTGTGTCACGTGCAGAACATGGAGGACCCGTGATGACACCAAACACCGTAAGCACTTTAAAAGTCTTTATTAGCCAGAAGCTAAGATATGGAGGTGTTACCGGGGTAATACTCAGGTAAGAGCAGAGACGAAGACAGGCGCAGGTCGAAGCCAGATCGGGACAAGCAGGTACAGGGAATTCTGTACAATTCCACTTCCGGTCGGCAACAAGATGACGCCTGTGCTTGGCTTAGCCGCAGTCAACGGCCACTTTTTCAAACTTTTCTCCACTAACCTCCTCTTTTCCACCTTGCTCCTGTCTGCGATCCTCTTCAGCAGTGTCCCTGCTACCATCTCCTATGATCGCCAGACTCTTTTGTCCTTCCGTTCGTTCATGATCGCCCAAGATGCACCGAGGACGTACCTTCCTGTTTGTTTATCTGAGCGGCTCACTGGCTCGGAGCCAAATGACGATTCTAACCATGGCGCCTCCAGCGATGTTTATCCGGTCCAGGGAAAGCATCGGAGGAAAAGAGGTAAACGAGCAGAAATCCAGGTGAGAATAGGACTTCTCTTAAAGCATGGTTTATCTAGTAAACATCGGCACGATCTTCTAGCTTCTTGTCCGTTATTTGGGAATTTGAGCGCCACTTTCGCATTCCCGCCAGGCCGCGTTGCGACACGGTTCATCTGTCCAAGTTTTTTAAGGTCGGTTTTTCCTCATTCCTCAGTGGTTTCTCCTCCTGTTCCCTCCATAAGTGGTTTTTATAAACATCGTGGATCTAACCCTGCTAATTTATGTCCACTAACTCCAGCTGTTTCTGTAGTTTCTGATTCCTCCTCTTCACTCAGCATGGCTCTATTAAATACCCGCTCTGTTAACAATAAGTCCTTCCTGCTCAATGATCTAATTCTGTCTAAAAACCTGGATTTTCTGTTTCTGACTGAAGTTTGGCAGCAAACATCTGATTATTCTGCTCTGATTGAACTCTGCCCGAGTGGTTATTCTTTTCTTAGCCAGCCCCGGGGTTCTGGTGGTGGTGGAGGCCTAGCTGTTGTTTTCAGACACCATCTTCCATGTAGCTCTACAACCTCTGGTCACTTTGCTTCCTTTGAACTGCAGCTGATTAAAGTCGGGCATAAGGACCCGTTCTACTGTGCTGTGGTCTATCGTCCACCTGGTCCAAACAGTTCTTTCCTTCAGGAGTTTAGTGACTTTCTATCCTCCACTGTGAAGCTGTCCAGACTGGTGATTGTTGGTGACTTTAACATCCACGTTGATGATCCCTCCGATCACTTTGCCATGAATTTCTCCAGCCTTATGGACTCCTTCAGCTTTATGGGCTCGACACACAGGAGGCGACATCGCCTCGCCTCCATTCATTTTCAATGAGACATGCGTGACAAAGCGATAATCGCGGGTCTCCCTCCTACAAAGCGAAACGCGAAAAACGTGCGTGTGAAAGTTTGTACTCGTGCACGTGTCGTGCACGGACGACCCAGCGACGCAATCCCAGAAAGTTGAAACATTTTCAACTTTTCATCGCTGTCGCTCGGGCGAGGACCAATCAACGGAGGTTTCATTCACTGACCAATGAGAGGGCAGGATGCTCCGCACATCTCCGAGCAAACATGGAGGAGAAGTTGATTATTATTATGTTTTATAGTAAAATCAGAAGTAAGATTTCACATAACTCTAGCAGCACCTTGTGAAACATCATATCTACCACTTTATTAACTCTGAACTGCTTAAATAACCTTAATTCCCTCCAACCTGACACAGCCAAACAAAACAACGGAAGTTTCGATTTCGCCATGGAACAGAACGCGTAGACGGCTTTGCCGCTGGCCGCTGCCGCAGATCGCCTCCCGTGTGACAGGTAATAAAAGCGACAGCGACAAATTTCGCTGATCGCGGTCATTTGTCGCCTCCCGTGTGTCGAGCCCATTACCCAGCATGCTTCTGGCCCCACACACACCAGGGGACACACTCTAGACCTTGTTTTTACCCTGACTCTAAATGCTGACCGTGTTTGTCCTGAGGACGTTTATTTTTCAGATCACCATTGCATTTTCTTTAACTTGTCAGTTTCTGCGTCCCCACCTCCTGCTCGCCGTATGGTTAGTTCTCGTTTTCTTAATGAGAGCACAGCTAGCAATTTTTCTGCTGCTTTTGATCCACCCTGTTCTTCTGATAACAACCCAGATTCCTTAACTTCTCAGTTCAACGAGCACTGCCTCTCCATTCTGGACAACATCTGTCCTGTCAGAACCAGATGAGTTCCTGCAGTGAACCCTACTCCCTGGTTTACTGACAGCCTTCGCAGCCTGAAGCGCCAATGCAGGAAAACTGAGCGTTCGTGGAAGAAAACCCATCTCCACGTCCATCTGCTGCACCTAAAGGATCTTCTGACATCCTTTAACTCTGCAGTCAGAGACACGAGGGTTTCCTATTTCTCCAACCTGGTGTCCCAGAGCAAAGGGAACCCCAAGGTGCTGTTTAACACCATCAGCAGCATCGTCTCTCCTGCCTCTCCTACAGCCTCCATCCACTCTGTTGCAGACTGTGAGAACTTTCTGTCTTTCTTTGTGGACAAAGTCAATAAGGTTAGATCTAGCATCTCTCCTTCAGCCTTATCGCCGCCTCTCCCGACTCCAACCAGGCCCATCATCCTAGATAGCTTTGCTCCTGTTTCTTTGCCTGAGTTAACCAAACTAGTTAACTCTATGAAGACCTCTGCATGCCCCCTCCACATCTTACCCTCATCTTTGTTTAAAAGTGCTTTTCAGTCCATCGGTCCCAGCGTGCTCTCTATAATTAATGCTTCTCTGGTCTCTGGTCAGGTCCCTGCTTACTTTAAGAACGCTGTAATCCACCCGCTTCTTAAAAAACCGAGTCTCGACCCCTCTCTCCATAGCAGCTTCAGACCCATCTCTAAACTTCCGTTCATCTCCAAGATCTTGGAAAAGGTTGTGGCTAAACAACTCACAGCTGCTCTTGATGAACATAACATCTATGATAGCTTCCAGTCAGGTTTTCGTGGAGCTCATTCTACTGAAACAGCTCTTCTTAGGGTCTCTAATGACCTTCTGACTCTGTGATGCAGGGGACTGTTCTGTTCTGGTCCTGCTGGACCTGACTGCAGCCTTTGACACTGTTGACCATCACCTGCTACTAGAGAGGCTGAGAGACTGGGTAGGCCTATCAGGATCTGCTCTGGAGTGGTTCTCCTCTTATCTCTCTGAGCACTCCTTTTCTGTGGCCGTCTCCAAGTTTAGGTCCTCCACCACCTCTCTTACCCATGGTGTCCCACAAGGTTCTGTGCTGGGGCCTCTACTCTTCCTCCTCTGTTTGCTTCCTCTTCAGCACATCCTGAGCTCCTTCAAAGGAATCTCCTACCATCTTTATGCAGATGACATCCAACTGTACATCTCCTTCAAGCCCCATGAGATTGTAACACTTCTGGAGTCGTTACAGTATACTAGGACCAGTTAGGTTCGACTACTAGAGCAGTATGAAGGTGAGTTGTCATAAAAAACCCACAGACCAGAAAATAAGTTTAAATCACCGGCTTATTATTTTTAGAAAAAAAAAACAGAAAATAGACAGTTGACATACAATTCACAATACACATAAAACAATTAACACCAGGGAAATAAGATATTTTAATTTTCCCCTTTTTGTCCAGTAGTTCCCGTTTATCCTATTTGTCTCAAAACCTTTAATTTGGCTTTAAAAGGATGCCATTTTCAACCTAGGTTGTTGTTTTATTAATTTCAAGTTCTAAGTTCACGTCTGTTCTTTAATCTATTTAAGTTAACACTGTGTTATTTTAAATCTAGTTTAGTTCTTTAATTCCAAAATTTAATTTAATTTTGGTTTAGTTCACCTTTAAATTTCAATCATTTCCTATTTGGTTTCACCCACAAAATTTACATTTTCATTAATACCATTATAGCATTGAAATGTATGTTTGACCAAAAAAATAAATAAAATAAACAGCATAAATGTAAAAACTTAAAAACAATTCAGCAAAAGGCTGAACAAACCCTTTAAACAAAACAAAAAAAATTGTATTTCTCCTTTAACCATAAATCCCAGAATTATTCTGAATGGTTATCCCGTGCTTTGTGAGTCCAGCGTTCTTCTGCAGAGGTGTATGGATAAATCCTACCAGATTCCAGTGAAAGAACGCAACGTCCAGCAGGGGGAGTTTTTCTCCTTCTGCAAGGCACAGTTCAAGGGGTCCGAGGGCGGCTCCCCATCTTGTTTCACGCTTAGGAAATCCAACTCCGGTTCTAGCTCAGCATTTCCCGGTCCAAACCTTAATGGCCTACCATAACGATAGAATAAGGTGCATAAACATTTAAAAATAACACACAGATAGCCCTTAGGTAACAGTAAAAGTCTGTTTTTTTTAGCTCATTTAGTCCTCAACGAGGTGGTGCCAACATGGCGCCCTGAAAACACATCAACGGCCTATGAACTACCGCCTGTGTGTCGAGTGAGCACAAATTCAATGCTGAAATCAACCATTTTAACATTAAACAACAGAAATCTGCTACCTTGGCTTTCCATTTACATGAAATTAGCAATATAATACAACAAAACATTTCTTTTATCAAATAAAATACAGTTACTGAACTCACCAAGTCCCATTCAGTTATGTTCACAACATCACCAAGGCACAGCCGGTCAGGAAACAGAAATACCTTCTCCAGAGTCTCAAAATGGCTTTATGTGGACTTCTAGGTTGGTATTTAATATATATTTTTTCTCATTTACGCAGCAGCTCCGCAAGGACTGTCTGCATCTCTTCCTCCGCAGCGCCAAAGTGAAAGAACTACCCGGTTGGCTGTAGCGGATCATGAGTCACGCTGCAACGTGCCCTTCAAATTAAGAGTCTGAACAGATATTTTTGCTTTTTTTTTTCTGAATTAACATAAAAACCCATGAATTTGCAAGTTCTTAACCTTTTAACTAGCCTGGCAAGCCAGACTAAATAAATGTATTATTTAGTCTGGCCACGCTCCATTGACGGCTCTCAGTTGTGGGGCGGGTTCTACCGTTGTCTTTCAAATGATCTCCACATTCCACTGGACAATGAATGTGACGTGCTCTTGTTTCACTCTGTTGCATCATCCCACCCACCAGGCATATAGAGTGCCCTGATTGGCCCACAAAGCGGATAAAGCTCTGTGATTTGTTCACTAAGCAGATAGAGCACTATGATTGGCCCACCATTATGGACCAATCACAGCTCTTTATGTGTTTGAAACCCCTCTAGAGAGCTGTGATTGGCTAGCCAGAGTCCTGGTAGGAGCTGCTGAGGTTCCAATGGAGCATGCCTAGACCAAACTTTGCAAAGCAAGAATTTGGTTTAGTTCACTAGGCTACCTTTTAACATGTTTTTAAACACAAATAAAATAAATATAAAACTACTGATGTTTTTAATGAGTCGTTTTAACCATTAAGATCCATTTATTGACTATTTGTAACCTGTAATATATTTCTTTTGACTGTTTCTATTAACAGGCTTTTATTTATTGGGAGCTATGTTAACCAGGGTTACAAGATGTCTAAGCTGCAGCTGTTACACACCTGCTTAGACTCCATCAAAACCTGGATGCTGGGAGCTTTCTACAGCTGAATGAAGATAAGACTGAGATCCTCATCTGTGCCCCAGACAAGCTGGTTCCCAAAGTCAGAGACTCTCTTGGTCAGCTTGCTTCCCACACCAAACCTTCTGTCAGGAATCTTGGCGTGACCTTTGACCCAGCTCTCACCCTGGATTCTCATGTCAGTTCTCTTGTTGGCTCTTCCTTCTTCCATCTCAGGAACGTTGCTAAGCTGAGTCCCATTCTGTCCCGCTCTGAACTTGAGACAGTTCTCCACACCTTCATCTCCTCACGCTTAGACTACTGTGTAGCACCCCCTTACCCAGTCTAGTAACTGTACTAGAATCTAAAACAGGTGGGGTGTCTTCTTGGGTTCGTTGATTTCTGGTAAAAACCTGGCAGGTTCACCTAAGGTAAACTAATCTTTTCCTTTTGCTCTCAAGCCATTACATTAGCATTATGACTTAAACCAGAATAAGCCCAGACAACTTTCTAATGAAAATGATCTTTAATAAAAAACTCACATAGAATAAATGAACTGTTCATTTAACCTGAAAGCAATCAAATGACCAAAATTGTAAATGTCTTTGAATCAAATAACCAAATCAGTTTGTTTTTTCAGTGAACATATCTAACATGGGTCATTAACCGACATCCATACATTTCTCAAAAAACAATACCAAGTTCAATATAAATCCACACGTGGGCCCACACTCACTCACACACACACCAAGTTCGGTACCGTAATTTTTTTCCCGTTGCAGGCCTGTGCGATGATTTTGTGGCTGAGCCTGAGATCAGAGGACTCAGTGGTCTCCTTTAAAAAGCAGCTGAAGACTCACTTGTTCAAGCTGGCTTTTGTATGACCTTCTTCACCTCTCTCTCTTTATTCTGCTCTCCCCACCTATTCCACCTTCCTCAGGATCCACTGGTTTCCCTCTTTCCTGTTCACTCTCTCTCTCTCTTAACATTCTTTTAATCACAATTGTCTATTTTTTGCTCATTTTAAATATATTTTTAAACATTTTCTAAATGCTTTTTTATATTTTTACATTTTTGTTTTTGTGAAGCACCTCGTGATTTTTATCTTGAGAGGCGCTATAGAAATGATACTTTCTTCTTCTTCTTCTGGGAACAGGCTGGAGATGTGGTAGAAGACAGGCGAGGGTCGTGCTGGCAGGCAGAGTTCAAGGCGGCGGTCAGGCCTGAAAATGAGGTCCAGAGGCTGCGATCAGGCAAGGTGAAAGGCTGGAAGATTAAAGAGCGTTCAATAATCTGGCACTGGATGGAGAGCAGGCTGGGAGTTAAATAGCAGAGGGAGCAGGTGTGTGGGATGAGCTGATGACAGGAACAGGTGAGATGAATGAAGATGATGAGGTGCAGGCTGAGGTTGCTGTGGAAACAGGCCATGGCAGCAGAGGCAGAGGAGGGTGAAAGACAGGGAGTCATGTCACCTTGTGCCTTTTGCCTTAATTATCCATTAAAGGCTTTTTAACTGCTTCCTGGCTTCACCGTTTTTGGGTCCTACAACAACATCCTTTATCGTGACAGCTGCACCTGTGCTTCAATGTTCGGGTGATCATCGTAAAACTTCCTACCATCCTCTGTTGTATTTCTGACCTTTGACATGCCACTAAATGTGTCCACTGAATCACAACTCTTACATGAGGTATTGCATATTGCTAAATGAAATGCACATTCGAGGCATTTCTTACATCCACACATATTTTCATCCACCAACGAAAGACAAAAATTCTCTGCTGGTGGGAATTCTGGAATCATCAGAGGCATACAGCTGCAGAGACATTTTTAAAAGGATCAAAATCATAATGATGTCAGTTAACCTAAAACTTTTGGTTCTGATGGTCGTAGAAATCTCTTTAAGCTGATGAGGGCAAGAATGATTATTGATCATGATCAACAGCAGCTGTGGGTTCTGTTTGCACCATAACTAGAGTCAACAGAATTCGTTAGACTGACTGGCACAGAGGAGATGGAGGAATGAAGAAGGTGTGGGAGTTAGAGGAGTTGGACCCAAGGATTCAGTCAAAACAGAATAGAGAGAGAAGAACCGGCATGGCGACTTTGACTTGCGAGGCTCATCTTAACTGTCTTCTCCATCCCCAGTGAGTCGTGGAGGATGGCTGCTTATACTGAGCCAGGATTCTCTGGAGGTTTCTTCCTGTTAAAAGGGAGTTTTCCTCTCCACTGTCGCTTTATGCTTGCTTGGTATGAGGATTGCTGTAAAGTCACTGACACTAGTCAGTGACTTGATGCAACCTGCTGGGTTCCTTATAAAGGAAACTTTTCTGATTGGCTTAATGAACTGTGAATTGGAATGCTTATTATGTGAAGTGCCTTGAGACGACTCTTGTCGTGATTTGGCGCTTTATAAATAAACTTGAATTGAATTGAAGTATTCTGCCCACCGATCCACAACGTCCTGAGGAGAAGTCAGCAGCACACCGTCCCCACTATAGATAGTGTTGGTAGCGCACTGCCCCCCCCCCCCCCCCCCTCCCCGAGGCGCTGAATGGTGGACCAAAATCTCCCCGAAGCCGTATGGAAGTCTTGCTCCATGGTCTCACCAAACTCCTTCCATGCCCAGGTTTTTGCCTTGGCGACCACCCGAGGCGCGTTCCGCTTGGACTGCCGGTACCTGTCAGCTGCCTCTGGAGTCCCACAGGCCAAAAACACCTGATATGACTCTTTCTTCAGCTTGACAGCATCCCTAACCACCGGTGTCCACCAGCGGGTTCGGGGGTTGCCACCACGACAGGCACCGACAATCCTGCGACCACAGCTCCGGTCGGCCGCCTCAACAATGGAGGCACGGAGCAGGGTCCATTCAAGCTCAATGTCCCCGCCTCCCCCGGAACATTTTGGAAGTTCTGTCAGAGGTGGGAATTGAAGCTCCTTCTGACAGAAGACTCTGCCAGACGTTCCCAGCAGACCCTCGCAATACGTTTGGGCCTGCCTGGTCTGACCGGCATCCTCCCCCACCATCTGAGCCAACTCACCACCAGGTAGTGGTCAGTTGACAGCTCCGCCCCTCTCGTCACCCGAGTGTCCAAGACATGCGGCCGCAGGTCAGATGAAACAACAACAAAGTCGGTCATCGAGCTGTGGCCTAAGGTATCCTGGTGCCAAGAGCACATGTGGGCACCTTTATGTCTGAACATGGTGTTCATTATGGACAATCCATGACTGGCACAGAAGTCCAATAACAAAACACTCAAATTCAGATCAGGGGGACCGTTCCTCCAAACCACACCTCTCCAGGTCTCACTGTTGTTGCCCACGTGAGCGTTAAAGTCCCCCAGCAGAACGAGGGAGTCACCTGAAGGAGCGCTTTTCAGCACCCCCTCCAAGGTCTCCAAAAAGGGTGGGTAGTCTGAACTGTAGTTTGGTGCATAAACACAGACCACAGTGAGAACCCGTCCCCCCACACGTAGACAGAGGGAGGCTACTCTCTCATTCACTGGGGTAAACCCCAACATACAGGCACCAAGGTGGGGGGCAACTAGTATGCCCACCCCTGCTCGGCGCCTCTCAGTGGGAGCAACTCCAGAGTGGTAGAAAGTCCAACCCCTCTCAAGGAAACTGGTTCCAGAGCCATAGCCATGCACTGAGGTGAGTCCGACTATATCTAGTCGGAACCTCTCAACCTCACACACCAACTCAGGCTCCTCCCCCACCAGAGAGGTGACATTCCATGTGCCAAGAGCCAGCTTCTGTAGCCGAAGATCAGACCGCCAAGGTCCCCGCCCTCGACTACCACCCATCACACACTGCACCCGACCCCTTTAACCCCTCCCATGAGTGGTGAGCCCATGGGAAGGGGGACCCACCTTTCCTCTTTGGGCTGTGCCCGGCCGGGCTCCATGGGTGAAAGTGTTACACCACTCCAGGACAACTTGGTGTAGAAAAACCGAGTTTTATTGGGGACCTCAGAACCATGGCATCGTCATACAGATCCAAGCATGTTAGAGCCTTCTTTTCTTCTTTTTTTTTCCATTCCTTTCTGAACTGTGACTGCCCTCTACTGGTGAAAACGTGTAACAGCTTAACCAGAAACAACCGTAGCTGACTTACTTCTCAACAGGTTTATACAATGTTTCAGACATTTTATCTGTACACTTTACCAAGTGCTACAAAAGCCCGGCGAGCAGGCGCTCGCCAACGTGCCCCACCTCCAGGCCTGGCTCCAGAGGGGGGCCCCGGTGACCCACGTCTGGGAGAGGGAACACGGTTTCCATTTATATAATTCATCATAAGAGGTCTTCAGTCTGCTCTTTGTCTGATCCCTCACCTAGGACCTGTTTGCCATGGGTGACCCGAACAGTGTCACATTATTGCTCCCCTGTGCCTTGAGTTTTTCCTTAATTGTGTCCACCTGCCTCTTGTTACCTGATTACCCATCCCAGTGTGTATATAAGCCTTGTGTGTTGCTTGTAGTTTTGTCGGTTCGTACTCGTTACATGTCAGTTTTTGTTCACATCCGTCTACCCTGTCGTGTCTGCACTCCTAACCATTAAAAGGAACCAAATGTCTGCTGCTGTCTGGCCTGGGTTGATTCACCTGCCTGAAGGATCCGCTCTTCCTCCCTCACCTTCCCTCCACATCGTGACAAACGGAGGCAGAAAGCCTCAGACAACTTAGCTCCTGTGCGTGTACTGAAAAATCTAATTTCCCTCTGGGATTAAAGTATTTTTGAATAAATAGGTCTGTGGCCAAGTCCATGCTGGAAAACAACCACATAGACCATTTCTTCTGCCTTAAAACCAAAGATTCATTCAAACTCCTGAACCTAATTCTTGTTTTTTAAGTCAATGAATGAAAGGGTCGTAAAGTCATCAGTCATAATCACCACCCTGGAAAACCAGCCGCTCTGATCCACCAGAACAGATGCAACAGCCATGCTGGCTCAGGAAAGTCTGGCCACACCATCAGGAATATATGGAGGACCTCAGACATGTTTATGACACACCCTATAGATGCTGGGGGTGCCGACAAGTACAGCTGCCAAAAAAGGAGTAGCTTCCATTTGAATCAGTCAGAAGGAGCAGCAACCAGCTCGTAGAAACGTTCTGGAGACCGAGCTTAGCAGGTGGCTTCAGATCCAGCCATCATAACTGTTGACTGTAGCAGTGATAACAGTTTATTAGCACTCATATCAGTTTGGGTCTCATTAGCTGCACAACCAACATTTTGTTTAGGTGAGAAAAGATGCAACGGCTCCAGTCAGATACAGCTGTTACGATGACTGCAAGCAGAAACACCAGTTTGTTTCAACTCATCTGTGTTTCTGCAGTTCTCCAAAACCCAAACAAGCAGGAACGAGTTCAGCAGAACAGAGCAGAAGCAAACCAAGTGGATTTGAATGAGTGTGAGGGCGTGGCAGGCAGCAAACGGGTGTTTCTAAATGAATCCACTAAAACAACCAGTGAGATTCATGAGTCTTACGCTCTTGGCTGAAGTGACAGATGGGATCTTACAGCAGATTATCAACAAAACACTAAAATATTAAATTAAAGAACTAATCTGAACAAAGTGTGATAAAACTACCAATCTAGGTCATGCACTAATCTACACGCCTACCTGCACCGTTCTTTTGTTCCTTTTCTGGTTACGGTCGGA